GAGAGAGAGAGAGAGAGAGAGAGAGAGAGAGAGAGAGAGAGAGAGAGAGAGAGAGAGAGAGTATAGGGGGGACCAAATAGTATTGCCAGCTGAGATGCCTGGATCACAAGGAAAGGGCTGAAGAGAGAGAGACCACAGTACAATGTGCAATCATGCTTCAGATGGAACAAGCAGGGGGGGAGACAGCAGTTGAAGCTGCATACCGTAATGATGAACCGCCGACCATGATCCGCAGCTGCAAGCTTGTGCTCGTCGTCCTCAACCAGATGTGCAGAGAAGCACATTTCCTGAGCACATGCCGCACACACAAATCAATGATGTAGTCCTTAATCGCAGCTCCTAATGCCCTTCGCTCAAGTCCCTACGGAGCATTTACACTCTTTTCCAGCTTTGCCGCTTCTGATAAGCAAGTACTAAACCGAGGTGATAACAGGGCTCATTGCCATTCCGTCCAAATCAGTCTTCCTCACCAGATGCTAGTCAGAAAATTTGGTGCAACAGAAACAAGAAGGGTCTGCGGGAGGATGGGCGGATAAAGTAGGGACATATGACAAGACTGTCAGAGGGAAGCCGTGCACCTTGGTGCTGAGAACACAGGACTTGTTCCATTCTCATGGATGTCCCATTACCTCTCTTGGAACCTACCAGTGGGTAAGATGACTTCAGGTGATACCCCTCCATTCTATCACCTGACACTAGAATGGAGGTGTAACCGTGTAGCCATAAAACTTGATAAAAGACTTTTATTAAAAGTTGATAAGACTGTACACTATTTTGTTCAAGTTTTTGGAAGGAAAGGAAGTTGGAAAGTCTGGACGAATGAAGCGAGCAATTGACCAACCACAGTTGACTGCCAGTCACAAAGGCGAGTTTTGCCATTCACGACTTTGAAAGCGGCCACAGGTCCAGTAGCTCTGGAGATGGGCCTGTAGCGGCGACCATCCTGTCCCTGGTCACAGCTACCTAGCAGACCGAGTGTCTCTCACCGCTGTTGCAAGAATCTTCAGTGTTGCAGCACTTTGAGCCCTCACTTGGAAGAGTGCCAATGCTCTCCTCAAGCTGTACCACATTTGAAAAAGGTACGCCTTGACTTCAGCTGTACATCTGCGGACTGTGCGACAATAGCTATGCCTTTTTGGCAGTTTTTGCCCTTGTGTGAAATGCTGACTGCCTTTTTCAAAAAAAAATTGAAAATTTTAAATTTTGACCTTATTGATTTTTTTAATTTTTTTGAAAACATTAGCTTAAACCGCCAGTTCCACCACAGCTAAGTTGGTGTCTTGCTGGGGAGGCGCAGCAAGAACACACCACTTCGGCCTACCAGACCCAATGGGAGGTATAGATTCTTTATTCGACATAGCTGAATTCAAGAAGAATATTTTCTACGGAACGAGTGTGTGAGCAAAATTCCAAGTACCTCGACTTTGGTGATTTTTAATTCTTATTTCCGAGACGAAAAATCCGGAAAAAAAGAATCAGGGGTGTTGCTGACTCTGCTGAGGCTACTCTATGTCAGGGAAAAATAAAAATAAAACCAAAACAGAATGGTTTGGCACTGTGGCACATGAAAAACTCAGAAAAAGTATTCGTTCCAAACCGAATGCATATTTCAATCCAAGTCAGTGTGGCCCCGTAGGAGCGATGTTCAAGGGTGAGAATGCCCAGGGGGTTGCTCTTTTCAGTGAACCTAGGCTTGGGTGAACTGGTGGTTTGAGTCGAGACTCGAAAGGCAAGCTAGAAAGTTGTTTACAACTTTACACAGGGACATTTACCCAACAGATAAGCTACATAGTACATACAGCTGTCCCATTTTCTAGAAGCTTGTACTGGGATCAGGCCATCCCCATTTGAGAAAGAGGCCTCAATTATGGTACTTCCTATTCCACCATGGGCCTGATACTTCCTACCCAGGCTGTATTACCTTCTTCCCCCGAACACAACGTATGGTCATCATAGCTGTATTTGAGGCATCTTTCAGTCTAAATACCGCTATAATGACCATACGTTGTATTCGGGGGAAGAAGGTAGACATTTAGCCATAGGACAACAACATACAGTTGTCCCAGTCCCTAGAAGCTTCTACTGGGATTGGGCAATGCCAATTCAACCATCGGCCCGATACTTCTACCCAGGCTATATAAGGCCAGCTATTCTCCTGTTAAGTTGTTAAGGATCTTTTGAGTGCAGGCTGCCAGGCTGGTAGATTCCTCCCTTTGTTCATTTAATGGTGCTGACTACTTTTGAAGAAATGCCAAGTTTTTTGCGCAGTGATGGAATTTTCTGGCGCGAGTTTTCAAGCTTCTGATTATGGTGGATGCCCACCTTCACAGGTGCTTAGGATCGTGGAATGTGTACAGGTTAGGGGAAGATGGCACTAGGGCTGGGAGACATTGAAAGCACCTGCATGGTTGAATTTGGTTGGAATATCGACCTTGAGTTCGTACTGGCGCTGGCATAGGTTGAGATATAGGCTATAATTGGGTGGCCTAAAACGAGTGAAGACTCGCAAGGACCTGCTGTGGAGATCTAATGGCAGTGTTCACAGGTGTGGCCCCTGGGGGCGTACAGCTCATTCACTCTTGGCCGTAACAATGATTGCTGGCAAAGTAGTAATTTGCAGGAGGTTGGAGGAGGTCGGATGGAGGTGTATTCTTCGAGTTTGTGTGCATCCTTCATGTGGGACCTTCTTCTTGCTGTTTCCCTTCAGTGAAGCGAATTCAATCGCATCGTATTCTGAGTGTCTGAGGCACATGTCATAAGTAATGCTGATTGACGGTCTGCTGGATGAGCATCATCTTCTGAATGCAATTTGTCTCTGCAATTGTCAGCCAGTAATGCAGTTGGCTAGAGGCCGGTACCTGGCTCATAGTCAGGAAATGAGGGTTTTCCAAACACAGACTCAGAGAAAACAAAAGACACGCACACACAATCATTTTGATGGTTTTCCCCTTTCTTGATTTTTCCCAAGTACTTTGTGTGTATCTCCGTGAGCACCCTTAAGAAGTGGTAAATTGTCCGTGGTTGGTAGTTTGGAGTGCCTGCAGGGCTCTTAGGGGGGCACTCCATCTGTGATGTCTGTGGTGCATGAGGTCTGTGGGTGGATGATTGACGTCCGCCGGAGTACCTTCCTGGCTCAGCAGGTGGTGGGAACCAACAGTCTGCGAAGTTCACCCGTGATGTGAGTAGGTGATGTGCCGCTTTGCTCCGTGTTGGATGTGCAGACTGCCTTGTCTGCGCTCTGCCACTGCCTTGCTGCCCGTCCCGCTGGAGTTGCATGCCGTTCTTTGCCAGTTGCTGTGTTCACTATGTGATGTGGCCGTCGTGTTGGTGTTGCCCCAGTGCTTCGCTGCACTGTTGCCTTGCTGCCCATCTGCGTGCCGTTCCTTCCGCGTTCCTTGCTTGTGTGTCATATGATGTGGCTGCTGTGTTGGTGTTGCCTTGTGCTTCGTTGCGCTGTTGCTGTGCTGCTCGCCTGCTTGCTGTGTCGTTCCTTGCAGTCGTTGTCGGCATTGTGCAGTTAGAGTTGCTCCAGCGTTGCCTGGTGCTTCGCTGAGTTTCTGCCCACTGCTATGTTCCGCTTGGGGACAGTCTGCCTTCAACGTGGGTCAAGACTCAAAAGTTTCATGAACCAAACTATTAATGCGGGCATTCCGCAGATTGTCGAAGGTTCAGCCTCCTGATGAGTCGGTGCAACTCTGACGAAACAATTTATCATCAGTTTTATTTTTTTTCAGTCCTTGAAAATTTCCGCTTGTCTGTTTTGTGTGGTTTTGCGTCGTTTGCTTGGTCTGGGTGGTGTGCTTGTGTGTCGTCTGCTTGACGTGTTTGTGTGTTGTCTGCCCTCCCGCCTCCCCCGTGCCCTGCAGCCTTGTCTTTTCACCTCGCTGCCTCTAGTCCTATGCTGCTGCCTGTCGTCCTATCGCCTGTTGCCTCGTGCCCTCTCCTTTACCATCTTTTGTTTCCCTTTCTTCTTGTTGCACTGTGTGTTTGAGTGTTCTCTGCCCTCCAGCCTCCCGCATGCCCACCAACCTGTGTTGCATCCCTGCTTGTGCCTGGCTGCTTTGGCTGGTTGGTTCTTGGTTGCTGTGTACTGTCTTCTCCTTTTGCTGATCTTTTCCCTTGCCCCAGTGTGTTCTTCTATGTGCTACTATACTGTCGGTCCTCCCGCCTCCCCCGTCCCCTCCAGCCTATGTGTGCCCTCCATGAAGTTGCCTTGCTGCTTTGCCCAGTTCTTTCGTGTCTGATGTCTTCTGCCTCTTCCACCCTACTGGTCTTTTCCTTTGGTGCTTTGGGAATGGCCTTGCCAACCTATGTCAAAAGTCTAACAATATATGCTCCTACTGAGTCCTACATAGTCTATAGGGCAATAAAACCCAGTTCCCCCCAAATGACTAAACAAACGTGAGACTGGATGCGGGTGAGGATCTGGGGCACGGACGGTCGTATCACAGGTTCCTGTGAGGTTACGTAGCATGAAGTATTCGTGCTATGTGTCAGGCAAACACACACACACACACACAGAGAGAGAGAGAGAGAGAGAGAGAGAGAGAGAGAGAGAGAGAGAGAGAGAGAGAGAGAGAGAGAGAGAGAGAGAGNAGAGAGAGAGAGAGAGAGAGAGAGAGAGAGAGAGAGAGAGAGAGAGAGAGAGAGAGAGAGAGAGAGAGAGAGAGAGAGAGAGGCACAGCCTGCATCTAGGGATTAACCGAGTCCAAGAAGAGAGAGGGAGGTGAGATGGGAGCCGAATTGGTCTGGCTGTTGTTCCAGGGAGCCATTTTTTGAATCAGCCTCTGCCAAAGGCTACTTCCTGAATCATAGGTGAGCGCATTGTCCCTGTTCAGGACAGGGCTTAATAGCGGTAGATTGAATGGTCCTTGCACTACGTGTTAACCGAAGACTGTGCATTATCAATGGGCTGGCCATTTCACATTCTAGTTTAACCATAACCTACAACTCAAGCCCAACCTGGTCAGTTCAACAATCAAGGTCATTTTCTTCACTCACTTACATTCTTTCAGTAGGAGTTTGTGGCACCTCACCATACCTATCCCCTTTGAAGACCACTCGGGGTTCCTTCTGGACTGGAGTGCATCAGCAATGACATGCCTTTCCATCGTTTTTCCTTTCTGAAGTTTCATTCTTTCCGTTCTCTTCCCATTCTGAAGTTATGTGCGCAAACGACATACCTTTCCATCATTGGTCATCAGCTTGTTGAAATCCTTCCTAAGGGGTTTGGGAATAAGTGAAATGCAGTTCTGGAGCGCATCCTTTTCTTGTCCAAAGCCATTATGTGGAGGGATCATATTTTGTGGCAGCACAGGAGGAGGTTCTTGGATGTCCACTGGCATAAGATCCTCATCGGTAAGCCCCCATTTTGTCCTGTAGTGCTGGTATGTGTACTCGTCACAATCGTGGAGGAGTAGATCCCGATCGTACACCCTAATGAAACTGCCAATCCGTAAATCCTTCTCATGGTAGAATGCAGAGTCCGGCATTGAGGTCAAAAACGCGTGACGACCTGTTACGTGCACAGATGAATGGCAATGACAGAAAGAAGACAAAACGCATTACAAAATGAAAGGCAATGTCGGACGGAAAGGAGTAATGCGAGACACAGAATATCAATGAATTGAAGAAGAAACAGCTGATATTGCCTTCAGGCATTGAACCATTTTACTCTCAAATTGAGCAGATGAAGGAAGGGTAATCATCAAATAGGAAGCATACATTGCTGTAAGACTGACACCTGCATACAGACTATTACAGAGTACATACCTCTGACTGGTACTTAACGATATAACAACGATTGATCAGAATTTAATCCCCCGGCCTCTCCACCTCTGTTCAACATGCCCGCTGCTGTAAGCCTGAGACCTACATACAGAGTACATACCTCTGAGTAGTACCGAACGATGTAACAACGATTAATCCCCCAGCCTCTCCACCTCTGTTAAACTCGCCCGCTGTCTGCGCAAGGAACAGCAGGACTTTAGCAATAAGTTATCGGATTTAGCAAGACTGCCCTGCAGTTACAGATAAGGATTGTGCCAGGCTGTGAATGTTATACTTCGTCTATGGAATTTCGTGATTCTGCAAAAAATTGTTGATCTTCAAAATTCAAATCCTTAAAAAGACTGCCCTGCAGTAACAGATAAGGATTGTGCCAGGCTGTGAATGTTATACTTCGTTGAAATTCAGTGATTCTGCTAAAAATGTTGATCTATCTTCAAAATTCAAATACTTGTTATGTACCCGATTGAACTTCAATCCACATAGAATGTTCCCATACACAAAAAAAGCCACTAGACACCGAAAAGATGGCAGTCATGCCTAACTCGAAACAGACCTGGTGACAGGAAAGCACTGGCTACTTCGCCAGTAGGGAAGGGGTCTAGGTATCTGCTAAGCCTAAGCAGGTTTTACTCTACACAGTCTGAAGGAACAACTCCCTTGGATCCTGGAGTGGATGTGACCGAAAATGTACGGTATGGAGTTGACTCTTTACTAGGCCTTTGGATTTACAGCTACAAGAAGATCCGGCGGCGATCGGAGGCATGCAATCGCAGAGTAGACTCGAAGGAGGCAAATCCACACAAAACCAGAGAGAGATGCACAGCGGAAGCTCAACAGACACAAGAGAATTGAAAAACAAATTTCAATTTTTATTCATCTCCCGTCCTCCAATCAATCCAGAGCACTTCATTCCAAGAATCACAACCTCGTTGTCAACAACCCCAAACAATCACAAACAAATATTCAACGGGATATCCAGGAGTCTTCTTCTTCCTCCTTGCCACCTCAAAAACCCTGGCTATGGCTGCCGTAGCAGCAGAATCCCCGAACAGTCACCCCGGGGTCAATCTGAACTAGCCACCCTGGCAGAACCCCGAAAGTCCGTCCCATGTCGGTGAAGTCGCTGCCAGTCCTTGATCATGGGGACCAACGTCGAGCCGGCTGTACGAGGATTCTTAGAAGTCCAAGCTACGCAAGCCGGGTACACTAAGATCAATTTGACACACTGGCTCAAAGCCACACCCATAGCCACACTTGAGGAGATCCTTATCAAACAATTTAAGGATCCACATGCTGCCGCAAGAACCCGGAAGAAACTTGATGATCTCAAGCGCAACAAGTAGACGGGCACCATGCATAATTTGCAGTTGTTTAGTCGAAAATGTCAATTCCATAGAACCACCGAAGTAAGGTAGGGGACAGGGTAGTTTGCTCTTTGATCCACTTCAGAGTCTCATGATCTGAGAACACTTTGAAGTGGCGTTCCAAAAGATAGTGCTTCCAATGGTCTAAAGCCATATGCAAAGCATAGAGCTCGCGCATGTAGGTGGAAGTGGCTACCTTTTCGTTGGGCATGCGTTTGTTGTAGTATTCGAGCGGTCGTAGGCCATTCCCGTCATCTTGCTGCAGCATTGCGCCAATTCCATACTGGCTTGCATCCGTAGTAACTACGAATGTCAGTTTGGAATCTGCAATGCGGAGTACAGAGTAACTTACCAAAGTTTTTTTCAAAGTTTGAAAGGCGTCCTCGCATGCAGTATCCCGAGCGTCAGGAATGTTCTTACTTGTTAACCGGGACAACGGGCGAGCAACAATAGAGAAGTGGGTTACAAACTTCCGGTAGTACGATGCGAGACCAAGGAAAGAGCGCAATTCGCAGATGTTCGCGGGTTGAGGCCAATTGCGTATGACCTCAACCTTGGTTGCCTCAAGCTCTAGGCCTGCAACAGACAACCGATGCCCAAGATAGATGACGCTATCCCTCCCAAACTCATATTTCTCTAAGTTGAGATGGAGTTGCGTCTTCTTGAGAATGGTGAACACTTCCTCAAGGTGCTTTATGTGTTCCTCTATGGATTTGCTGAAGATCAGTATATCATCAAGGTATACCACCACGAACCGACCAATCTGTTCGCGGAGGACCTTGTCCATGAGGCTTTGAAAGGTGGCCGGTGCGTTCCTGAGACCGAAGGGCATTATGGTAAACTCGTAAAGCCCATCGCGTGTTTTGAACGCAGTCTTGTGCTAGTCCGTAGGATCGACTTCAACCTGGTGATAGCCAGAGGATGTTTACATTCGCTTTGACCCCGCCAAGGAGGCAGGCCTAAGTTGGCTTACTCATGGCCAACTACTGAACCTGCAAATAACCAGGATCGGGCACAGTGACACCTGGATTGAACAGGACGTTCAAAAATGCTTATGTGCCCTCCTCAGGTCCGGCCCCTTGGCGGGAACTGTGAACTGGGACTGGGATCAGTTGTCGTGGGTATGTTTGTAAGATGCTATTACAGGCTAGTACAAGCTACATAATATGGAGAGTATATGAATAATTTAAGTAGGTTGGACCCGGTCAGAGCGGTGTACGGGAAAGATCGTATTTGGAACCAATGTAGGAGAGCAGCAGACATGGACCTGCGGTCCCTGAATGTGAATGGTCTAGCCTCGTGCAAACCTGAAAAACAAAATGCAATCTGGGACTTGATGAGAGGGGTGGGAGGTAGGGATTGGCCAGATATTATAGTATGTGTGCAAGAAACACACTTGATGGACACCCCGGAGCACAATCACACCCACAAAGTGATCAGGCCATACAAGGCCTTCAGAGCCCATGCCCCGAAACCAGGTAGTGCAGGGGTTGCCATCTGGATTCCCCCAGACTCCAGGGCAGACCCAGTGCATTGGGTAGTGGATCAGGAGGGGGGTCGATGGGTGTCCATCCTGGTCACATTGGAACTCGAAATTTTATGCATAGTATATGTCTACGCCCCCAATACCATAAGTGAGAGAAGAGCCTTTTTTGAGAACCTCAAGATGCAAATCCCGGATGGGGTTCCGGTTATTATTGCACGGGATTGCAATGCAGCCCCGGATCGCTGGATGGACAGATGGCGGGCGCCGTCCCCTGCCCCGGCGTATGTGGAAGAGCATGAGCGGATAATCCACGAGTTATGTATGTCACTTAAACTATTTGATTCCTTCTGGAAGCTAAATCCAGATACTAGGTTTTATTCATGCCTACGGAGGACTGGTACTGAGAGTCAGTCCAGATCCCGGATAGACTTGATTTTGATCTCGGAGGACATGGGAGGATCGTTGCTCTTAGCAACGATCCTCCCTGCCAGTCCTTATCCAAGTCTTGGTCACAAAATGTGTTCGGTCATTTTGTCGTTTCGTAAGAAACCCAACCAAGGACCCGACTTTTACAAATTCAATACCTCTATCTTACAACAAAAAAAACTTTCAGAATTGCATCAACGATTGTTGGGCATTCTGGCACACACAATGACGGTATATTCAACGGGTTTTTCTATCTCGGTAAAAAGTGCCAACAACTGCAGCAACTGGAGCACCAGGACCAACCAAATAATTCACATAATGCTACAGCGCACACACAGCCAGTTGATCTTTCAGAGGTACAGAGACTGCAACAACGACTCCAGACATTTGCCGCATAACATTGGGAAGGCGCACGCATAAGAGGAAGACCGACAAAGTATCAAACGGAAGGAACAATGGACAAAAAATTATTCAGCATGGCCCGAGCACGTTCGCACAGAACAACCAAGCGTTATATGATCCACAAACCGGTCACCAAGATATTGCCACCTCCTCCCCTCATTGCATGCAGATAGCCAGGTCCTTCTTCAAGGATCTGTTCACCTCAAGATGTGCCCGACGGGAGAGGAACGTAAGGGAGAAGGAAATAGAGGAATTTTTGAAACCACTGGAAAATACCCTGACGGGCCAGCAAAAAACAGACTTGGCCCGTCTCCTGTCCAAGGAGGAAATCTGGACGGCAATGATGCAGATGGACGAGGAGAAAACACAGGGCGTTGATGGATTTCCCAAGGAATTTTGGGAGACCTTCTGGACTCATATGGCCCCGGATCTCATGAATTTCTATCCCAATGTGTGGGACAGAGGGCGGATGGGGGAGCTGGTGGGGCAAGGTATCCTCACCTTGTTGCACAAAAAGGGGGACAAAATGGATATCAGGAACTACCGACCGATAACATTACTCACAGTCATCTACAAAATGTTAGCGAACGCTTTGACAAGTCGACTGATTCTGGTCCTGGACGACAGTATTCACCCAACACAGATTGGTTTTGTCAAAGGACGCAGGATCCAAGACAATATTCTTCTCTTTAATGAACTTCTCAAATTAACAAGGCAAGATAAGCAGAATGCAGTTGTCATCTTCATTGACTTTGAAAAAGCGTATGACTAAGACTGGCTATTTTTAAACAGATGTATGGAAAAAATGAACATTGGACCAGTCTTCCGGCGCTGGACCGAAATACTACATCAGAATGCCACCACATGTGTCCAAGTTAATGGCAGGATAGCGCCAGCCTTTCCGTTGCAACGGTCGGTTCGCCAAGGGGACCCCCTGGCACCCTTCCTCTTTATCATCACAATGGAGGCGCTAGCAGCAAACCTCTATGCCAACAAAGACCTGAAGAGACGGCAAATCTCGGCTATCTGGGAAGATGCGATCCCTTT